AACCCTAGCTCATGTAAAAAGCCATTTGCAGGTAATTTTAATCCTAATTTAAGTCTTAATTTTATTTTCAGACATAAGAAAGTGAGGACAAAAGAGCATCGAGAGTGTGATCTTTGATTGTTGACTTCTTTTTCTTTTTCTTCCTTTTGTTTTCTCTTTAGCCTTAAATTATTTTTTTTTTGTTGTTCATGCAGATGTATAGAACGGTGAAAAGCACTGACAAATCTACTGGTAATTAATTACAATTTTTAAATTTTTTTTTACCCCCTCTTTTCAACACTCTAATTTTGAGAGATTTTTGATGATCTGAAAATGACCCACAATTTAAATTTGCAGACTTTGCCTTGAAGAAGCAGAGGCAAGATCAGGTTGATGCTGTTGGTGTTTCAGATTGTGAGATTTCTAACCCAACTCTTACAATGTGGAAAAGCCCTGATCAAATGTGAGTGTATTAATTAATTTAAATCTTCCAATAACTCTTGCATTATTTCTAAATCATTTAATGGCACTGTTTATAATCATGCCAAATTTGAATCTTTTTTTCATTTGATAGAAACACTCTTCTAAGTAATTTATAACATATGTAATATTACTTAACGTTTTGTGTGTACAATATTAGCTTCTTTGACCATCCACTCTAGTGCCCTTTGATCAAATCTCTTTATTTTAGGTTCTTTTTTTTTAAATAAAAATAAAAATTGTTGAAAGTTAATAAGTTAATGATACTCAAGTTAATTTTGGGAAAAATTGAGTAGGTGGACAGTTTCTTTATAGGTTTTTTTTAGAGGAAAAAAAATCAATTAATTACTAATGTTGACTAGATAATCCATTAAGGAAATGACTAACAATATTAATTAGTTTGTTTTGACTTCTTTTTAGCAATTTGATTTACACATAATTTGATGATTTTTTTTTTTTGGAGAAATACATAATTTGATGATTGATTATCATAATAATTGTTGATGGACACAAATTCCATTTTTTCCGTCGTACTCACAATTATTCTTTTATAGGTTGCTATTTTTGTAACATTAGGTCTAATTTACATTTATAACCTGCACTTTTATTTTTAGGTTTGAATTGTTTTACAAATAACCTTCTTTCACGACGTACTCATTCATAAACATTTCCAAAACCCTGTTTAAGTATGGGTTTAAATACTCCTATACTTTTGGATTTGGTTTATTCTGGTTCGTGTATTTTTAAAATGTCCATTTTTGTCTATGTATTTTCAAATTTTTTCATCTAGTCCTTATGGTTTCAAAATGTACGTTTAGTCCCTGTTCTTTTAAAAATTGGCCATTTTGTTTCTTATTTGTAAAATTTTGACACAAATTTTATACACAATGGAAATCTTGAATATAAGTTTATGACTATATTTTAATAAATTTAGTGAATCAGGTGTCATGCTAAAATCTTTTTATTGAAATAAGTGAGATTAAATTGAAAATGAAGAATCAAAATGATCACTTTTTAAAGTAGATGAACAAAATAGAAATTTGAAACTACAAGTCCAAAAATAAATAAAAGAAAAAAGTACATATACCCAAAATAGTATTTAAACCCTAAAAAAGACACCATTTCAAACAAACTACCCCATTTCCAATCCATGAAATTCAGCCAATAATTCACAAAACCCACTTCAAATACACAACGAAAAGTGTGAAGCATTGGAAACTCAATTAGTAGGTACAAAATTAGTGCATTAAACTAATTGGTGAGATTAAATTAATGATGGGCAGGGACATGTTCTCTTCATCAATGGAGACAAATCATGAGATGACGACCAGAAGGAGTCAACATTACAACAATGGTAGCACTGGAAACAACAACCAGGTTCGTATATTCACACAAAATACAACCTTAAAGAACAACATCTCTCTCAAAAAGAAAGAAAGAAGACAATAATTATATCCAAGAATGGGTGTGTTTTTTTTTTCTTTGGTTTGATTTGAAGCAGGAGCAGGAGGAGGACCGACACAAGGCAAGCATCAAAATCTCGAGTGGCGTGAAGAAGCAGAAATTGGAGGGTAGCTGCTTGTCGTTGAGTGACCATGGCCATGTGTATACTCATAATAATAATACTCTTAACTTAGAATTCACTCTCGGATATGCCCAAATTCTCTAACACTGAATTCTAATTCTCACTCTTTTTCATCATAATTATTAACCTAATTATATGTATGTTAAGTTTTCTGTTTCCAATGTCTCAAAATTTTGCACTGTGAGGGTAAAGAGAGAGATGTTGGATATTTTTGTTTGAACCCATTAAAATTGAACCAAAAAAATTGTATCCTTGTTCTTCTTCTTCTTCTGTTTTAATGATTGTTTGTTGAAAGTTATGTGTACCATGTGTGTGTTGTGATGGAAAAAAACAAAAACATTAACTCCAAAGGTAATGAATATGATGGGGCCTAAGCCATAGGAGGAGATATGGTTTTCAGACACGTTATTGTTAATTTGTAAAACCAACCATTTTTTTTTAACACAATGGCTGCTCCATATTGTAAGTGGGTTCCCCAACAAGGCCCAAACCCTATCAAAACAGCCCACATGGCTGCTCAAAGCCAAGAGAAATATCGAGAGCAACTGATTTTTTTGCTACATCAAAATATACAAAATTGACCTAATTGGAAATTATCATATAATTTGAGAGATGGAATCTTACTCAAATAGACAATATTATACCAGCTATAATTATATAAATCAGGGTTCGAACCTACTCAAATAGACAATATTATACCAGCTATAATTATATAAATCAGGGTTCGAACCTACGCAGGTGAAACCCAACAGATTTCAAGTCTGTCTCCTTAACCACTCAGACATATCGACAATTTGTTGACATGCAAATTTTTTAAATGTAGATATGGGTATAGGTTCAAAATGACTATGAATAAGCTCTCTTTATAGGTCCACTTATAAGATAAGTGACAGTTCGTTTGGGACACAAAGGAGGAGGATTAAAAAGAGTTGAATTCAAAAGACTAATTAATATTGTTAAGATTTAGCCTGGTTTAGAATTTTAATTTTTTTTTCCTCTTGGGAACTGAGTAAAAAAATACAATGGAAAAAAAATATAGATTAGGAAACTGAGTAAAAAAAAAATTAATGTCATTAATGAGATAATTTTTAAGCTAACAACTTAGAGGAATCCCTCTTCTCTCTCTTCTAGCTAGTTAAGTTAAAGTAGGTAGTTCATCATTTATGTGAACTTTATTGTTTAATTGCCGAATCATCCTAGAGAGACCCATTTTAGATTAAAACTTGACATGTTTATTAGATTTATAATATTGTGACTAAATTGGCACGGTATGGACCACGGCATGATATGACAATAGATAGTTAAATAAATTAGCTCCACCTTCATTTCTTTGAGGGTGGTAGTTGAACATAAATTATGATTTAAATTTTAAGAATGTAATTGACTTTTTTAATTGACTAAATAGATATTTTAGGACTAAATTTATAATGTTTCGAAGGAATCAAATATTGATGTAACGCCTTGATTTTTATTCGATTTCTGTCGATCATCTTAGTAATTGGTTATTTTAATGTTGGTTAACTTTTGGCGTACATTTTCCTATATATTGTTTAACAATATATTCATGCTGCTTCAGTGGATTTATGCTTTAATTTTACTTTTGTCTTTTAAATTAAAAAACGCTTCTCTAATTTTGCTGTTCTTTCGTTTACATATCTCCACAGTAGCTGATTGTGTGATTCTTTGTGGGATTAAATTATAACAAATGTTATATCTACACAAATTTTAACTATCCATTAAGTTTTGAATTATATTTCTATTTAGTTGTTGCTAATTAGTTCACCGTTGATGTGCACTAAAATTGGGTATATGTATTTTTAAAATTGTATTAAATTCTTTACATTAAAAATTTTTTAATAGGTCTATATGTTTATCTTTTAGATTTATTATTAATATATTTACTGTATTCTTTAAAGATTAGATGATGAGTTGATTTAATGCATGTTAAATTAATAAAATTAATTAAAAAGAAGATATATTAGACATAAAAATTAAAATGTATTAACGTACTACCATATTAATTTAATCGTTAATTTCTTTTAATTCAATAATTATAGATGTGAGGAATCGTTTAAATCCTACGTTATCCATTGAGTCAGCTCAGAATCTTAATTAAAAAGAAGAAAAAAAAAGTAATTGAATGAAACTAGATATAATGCTTTTAACTCTCTGTATGACAAATTTTTCACTGATCTTCCATTCCAAAATCATTACATTCTCCACGTGTCACGACACACCTAGCATGCAAACTATACAATTTAATGATATGGTTTCCAGCTTACGTGGCAGCTTTTCATTTGTTCCGTTGCTGATTACGTGTTACCGTATTCCTCTTCCGATCAGCCGCCGACGCCGTCTGAAACGCCCCACACCTTCACCGATCTGTCAAGGCTACCGCTGTACGCAATCCACCGCCGGCCGCCGTGTTTGTCTTCCTCCACGGCGAGGCATTTTACGGGGCCGGTGTACCCCGTCAGCACCGATACGCACGTGTGGCACAGCCCCTCCCTCCGCCACACGCATATGGTTTTATCGGCGGAGCCGCTCAGAACCATGTGGTTTCCGGCCGCCGCGAGGCAGAGAACCGCTAGGCTGTGGCCCTTGAGGACTCCGCCGTAAGTCAACCGCTTTTCTTGGTCCCAGAAGTTGACCAGCCCGTCGGAGGATCCGCAGTACACCACCGTACCGGCGGCGTTCACGGCCACCGCCGTCACCGCACTTTCTTGCTTCAGCAGCGTTTGCTCCAATATGTGTTTTGTTGCGTCGTTCGATTCTTCATGCTGCCTCCTCCATACCTGTTCAAGAGATTATCGGTAATTTAATATTATTATTATTAGTTTCAATTTCATATATGTGATTTCAAATGTTTGAATTTAGTTCAACTTATATATAGCTTACAAATAATTTTTTATGCTCATTCGAAAATTAGGTAGTTATTGTCTATATCATTAGTTGCTAATGGTAGAATCAATAGGCACCTGAGAGGTTCGGTAGATCTTTTATCTCTAATTCCTGAACTTAACCGATACAAAATTATATGATAGAGTTCTATTGTTTCGAATTGACAATTTAATCTATGATTTATCATTTATGTAAGCTGATAAAGATATTTATATCTATCTAGATTATATAGAGTTCAAAGTTAAATGTGAGATTCAAACCCCTCTATGTTTTTTAGTCACGTTTGAACTCTATTACTTGAAAATTTAAGTTTAGACATTCTTATAAGGAGTAATTTGTGACCTATGAACAAATCATAGAAAATTTAAATTGAAATCTTTAGAATATAGAAATCAAAATTAAATTCAAATATAGAAACCATTTTGAAACTAAATTCAAATTTTATAATTACTTATTCAAAAGGTTTTTTTTCTTTTTTTTTTACAATCAAATTCACAATTTATTGATAAGATATATGTTGATTATCGTTGAACTATGTTTTTTTTACTATTTTTTTTCTTTTAATTAAATAAGATATATGTGGATTATCGTTGAACTATGTTTTTTTTACTATTTTTTTTTCTTTTAATTAAATAGGATGGAGATTCAAATTCATAATTAGTTAGTTGAGACATGTAAGCCAGTAGCTTATGTTGGTTATTTTAAAAGTTAAAAGTACACAAATTATAATCTAAAGTTTTGAATCCAGCAGTAGTTTAAAAATACCTTAGCAGTGCCATCTGCTGAGCCGGTAATGACGAGGCCATCTGGTGCTGCCACGACTGCATTTACAGCATCGTCGTGGACAGTAAGTGATTCCAGGCACTTGGAATCTGAAATTCTCCACACTTTCAAAGTTGCATCCCATGAGCAGGAGTACAATAATGTTCTATCTTCGCTCAGGCTCAGGCTCGAAACCGCATCGGCGTGCTTAAACCAAAGCCGGCTCCGGTTTCGTCTCACAACGACGTAGTTTTGGGGGTTTATGGAGCTTCTCAGTATGTCTCTCATCGCCGGTAACGTCCCTGCCCGCCGGTGACCGCCGCTTGGGTCCTTTTTCCACACCCGAATTTTCCCGTCTTGGTGACCGGTGAAGATCTTCTCGCCGGAGATTACAATTGCCTTAACCAATCCGCTGCTCGATTTGAATCCGTTAAATTCCTTAAGATTTTTCCAGACCCGAATGTTTCTGCTGTCGGAGCCGGTGTAGAGCAGCTCGCCGGCGGTGGCGAGCGAGTACACGTGGCCTTCCTCGCGGACAAGAGACCCAATGAGAGAATTGTTATTCCGGTGGGCGCCGCCGTATCGGAATTGGGAAAAACAGGGAGATTTCATGAAGGGATAGGTCTGGTTCCACGGCGACAAGCTCGCCGGAGACCCGTCGCCGTCCTGCCGGCTATTGGAGGAATCCGTACTGCTCGGCGTCGGAAAATCGCCATCGTCGCCGACGGCGTCGTTGACGACCAGAGAGATATTGAGGCCAGAATGAGTCAACGAATTGCCAAATTTCATTTTCGTAATAATTGAAATCCGGAGGAAGAGAATTAGAACCGAAGAAAATTGAATCAATGTTCTTCGGAGATTGCATGAAAGAAGTGGAAGGAAGGGACAAAAAGGGAAATATTTATAAAATGGGAGAAAAAGATCTGAGGCAGAAGATGGAGACACGTGTGACGGGGAGAGATAATAAATCAAATCAATAATTGAAATTAAGTGCGGGGAATGAGAATCGATGCCCTGATGTGGAAATTAAATAATATTATAAGTTTTAAAATGGTCACTCATTTCTCATATGAGTATTATTATTATTAATATTTAAAGGCTAAACTAGAGGGATTTAATGTGGTAAGAGGAAATAAGGCAGGGGGATGCGATGGGTGCATTTAATTAAGACTTAAGAGTGGGGATGTTGACATTAATGTTTATGAAAATGTTGGTCTTATAAAAAAGTGCAACTTTTAAACTAAGGAAAAAGAACTCGAAGTGTGTTTGAGTGGGGAGCACATGTAGGTTAAATAGATCGAGTTAAGATCAAAAAGGAATTGAAGTGTCCAAAGTTCGAAAGCAGACCACTAAATACCCCTCAACCAATTATTTAATTATGAAATAAGCTCTATTTTAATTTCAATTAAGTCAACAATGAAGTTGAGTAGGAGGAGGAGAGAAGAATCTTGTAGGATCACTGTATGATTAACTAGAATTTTGAGTTATTTCAAATCTTCATTGGTTTAAAAAAAAAACAGAATTTATAATTCAATGAAATAAATCCATATCTATATATGTTAGACTTAACTTAAGCATAATTTTTTTTTGTTCAATTATTGGATTGAAGTGGATGGTGGGCACTGGTGATTAGTACTTCTTATAGTTATTGGCTCAAATAGTTAAGAGTTTTGAAAAAGCATCCAACTTTCATAGTTAATTATTACTTGTTCAATTTTGCTTCCTTGCACTCAACAACCTTATTTGTCTAGTCAAATTTTTGTTAATTAGAATGTCCTTCAAATGAAGACATGTTATTCACATAAATCATATGATTTATAGAAGTTTCACAGAATTTATATCTTTTCGACATGAACATAGCCCTTCAATGAAGCTAGCTACTTATACCTTATTTTAAGGTAAGGTTTAAATCTTCATTGTCACATTTGTAGTACTAAAAACAGTTGTCTATTTTAACTTGAGAATCATCAATTGATTGCATAGCGCAGTGAATTAGTGCGTTTGACTTCGGATCGAAAGGTCGTGGGTTCGACTCGCACTATGGTCGACAATGAATACTTTTAAAAATGTATTTTAATTTAAGAGTACATTTTAAAATTAATTTATTTTTCTAAAAACTAATATAGTTTATTTTATTAATAAATTATTTAGCTTTTAATCTTTTTTAAACATTTTTGAAACCCATAATCAAATTTGGATTTTGACCGGAACAAAGGGGTAACAAGCATATATGATTATTGAAAACGTAAAAATTGAAATTGTTGTGTAAAAACGAAAAACATATGATTATATTGACTTGTCATCTCAAGAAAATCATTGACTTCGACCCCTTAGAAAAATGCCAATATATGAAGAAGATTAATAAGAAATCTTCTTCTCTAATTTGGGTCCAAGGGAGATGTTATCTTTGATTTGTCTTAATTTCGTTGTTGAATGTTTACATGTTTTTTTTCTCCTCATTCATATTATTTTATATGTATATGTTTTTCTTTCCTTAAAATTAATAATATTCAGGCGGACAAAATAGGTAAACAATGATAATTTTTCGTATTATAGAGGCCTAAAAACTTTCTTAATTAAAGTAATGGTTAAATTATATAGTTTTAGGATTGAATTCTCCTCCTTAACACCTTTAAATTCACCATAAACTATGCTCAAGTTGACAACATTGATGTTTAAAAGTATTTTATATCGTTATTGATTAAGAAGATAATTAGCTTCTGTATTTTCTCTAAAAATGATTTTAAATGGGTTAAAACTTGTTTAAAAAATTATTTCTAATTATGTAACAAAATACCATAAACTTTTGAAAAAATATTTTATTTTAGTAGGTTAAAAATACTCTGCATCATTTCAAAAATCATAAAAATTCACTCTAATCTATTCTCTAATTACCAGAAACATATAGAATTTTTTTATGTCTCTGACAGCTACTTTTTAAATCCATGATCTCATTTATCTAAGAAAAAATAACTTACAAGTCAATAGAAAATTAAAAAAAAAAAAAGGGAATAACTCACACATAACACATAAAGATTTGTTGAATAAATAGTTCATTTTATCTTGATAATTATAAAAACAAGAGTCACACTGTACCAAATCATATCGAAAAATTGAAATAAAAAAAAATGGAAGTTAGAAACAAAAGATTTGGCATTGGTTTGGGAGTTGGGGAGAGGACAAGTAGTGATAATTAGAGATGATATAGATGGTGCGAAGGAATTGTGATGAACCATTGACGTCGCAACCACATTGCCTGCCTTCTCAGGGCACTCACAATTACCTTGGAATAATCCAAACCCACATCCCCCCCATCATTTCACTTCCCTCTTTTTTTTTCTTTTCTTTTCTTTTTTGGTGGAAATTTAGGTGTCCCTTTTGCATCCAAACAAAGAAATCTAAAAGCAGCCCATTTTCCCTTTTAACCCATTGTGTTTCAAAAGCTCTTCTTTCTTTGATTACATTCAAGATTCCCTTCCCTAGAACCTTTCAATTCCCCCCATCATTACTTTACACATCTCATCCCACAATTCAAGAAAAAAATAATAAAGCTTTTCAAACTTGTCTTCTATTTTCAAGCCAAATTATGCCACACTACCTATTATTGAAGTGAGAATGGGTCCAAATATAATGATAAACTAACCGACTTAAATCCTCTATTATCTCACTGCTTTTGGTCTAGTGGTGATTTAATTAGTGTGATGATTTTTTTCTATTGGAAATGATATGTATGGTTAGTGTCATTTATAATTGAAAACTTGAACGTGTAAGTTAAGTAGTTAGATATTGGTAAGCATTAGCCTGTCGGTCATTATGGATTGTAGGTTTGGATTCATTCCTTTATCTGTAAATATATATTATTTACTGGTTTAAGAAAATATATAAATAAAAATGAGAATCATATTTATTTGATATTTGTTTACTTCTTCTTTTATACGGTGAGTATCCAAATTAGTTTAAGCACCAACTAATTTCATGCGGATTTTAAAATTCTAGGAATGTAATAATAAAAGAGACAAAATGAGAAAGTGTAAAAATAAATAGAAAATGAGAGGTGGCATTATGGTTGAAGCTGAGCTGGATGCCCGAAGTGGAAAGCAAGCCATAAACTCACGATGCTGAGCCAGGAATCTGCCAAGACAACCTTTAAAATCCACCAACGACTACGAAGTATCCTTGGGTCACCCTTCAATCAGAGAGCGACACCTGTCCCAGCAAAGAGTCAATCCCCAACGGGCTTCTGCAACCGCCACGTAACTAAATCGAAAACGACTTGTCGTCATGGGGCTTTCCTATTTCTGCCCACAAGCGTCGTACGTAAGGAGACTTGTCGACTCTCAACCTCAGTGGAATGTGGTCACTCCCACACGTGGCTTAATTTTAGATTTGTGACTAAAAAGGACATCTAAAAATCCATTCTCAGAGTCATACCGTAAGAACTTGATGTTAAGAAAGGATAAAATAGGACAATATCGCCTCTTTCCCAAGAAAGGATAAAAAAACAAACTACATAACAAAAATAGAGAATTTATCTTATCCTTGTTCTCCCTTACGGTTAAAATACATCGACAAACAACGATGATGTAATGTCATAATATAATTTATTGGCTGAGTTAAAAGTATTATATGTTTTGCTAACGTGAACATAACTAGCACTAATTTGGTCTCTATTCCTTTTCTTGAGACTAAAGATTCAATCATCGTATCTCCAATTGATTGTATTAAAAAATATTTCTATATACTTTAACTTGATAAAATAGATATGACTGGACTATAAAATATAAAAATTTATACATGTCATATGATTTAGTACATAGTAATTAACTTGACCTGAAATTGTTTATTTTTATAAACAAAATTGACCCATTAAAATGTTAAGAATATTAACGATATTCATACTCATGAAAAGTTGGTCAAATTACAAAAGTTTTGTCCTTCAAATTTTATTTTGTATTTAATTGGCCCATAAACTTTTAAAAGTATAATAAGTACTCAATTTTCAACATTTATGTTTAAAAAATTCTTGAACTTTCACGTTTTTGTTTAATAGATCAAGTTACTAATATATCTCTAAAGTTTCAACTTTGTGTCTAATAAATCTTTGACAAATTTGATATTTTCTAAAACTCAAAACTTATTAGACACAAAATTGAAAGAGTCATGTTAGACTCAAAAATAAATTTTATGTCTAATAGATTCATTAATTTTTAAATTTTGAATGCATAAAGATGAGATTGAAGCTTTTAAGTAATTTCAGAGACCAATTTGATAAAAACACTCGAAACATTATATATATCCTTAATTCCATCGCATTGAAGCTAGAAAAAAGGCTACTGGGCATGCTCAGCGAAGAGGTTAGACCCCGATCCATTATAGAGAATGACCCAACTTGAGGCCCAACAACAAGTTTGGGCCGACTTTAATTGAATAGATCCGAGCCCAAACTATAATCACTCTCCAATTATATTCGAAGGGAACAAAAATATACATTGAAAAAGATAAAACAAAATATTCTGTTTGTTGAAAATCAAAATTAATTATTAAGGGGCCAAATGGATAAGTATACAAAATGTCTGAGAACCTTTTATTTTCCCATTTTTGTGGCAACCGAATCCCACGTATAGTCCACTTGCAAGATTCGTTATCTAATCCAAATCGTTGAAACGAAATATTATAATACAATATAATTTTCGCTTAATATACGGAATCTTTCCAACAATTTTTCAATTCCATCTATAAAAAATTCATCAATTATATCTTTAATGTATTAAAATTTATAAAAACTAAGTCCATCCACGAAATTTTTATTGAAGTAAGATTTTAATAATCCAACGTGGATCTTAGACGCTTAACAATCTTCATGTTACATGTGTGGAAAAACACATACGGATTAGGTTCTAAGTAGGTGGTTATCATGAGTTTGAATTCATTCTCTCCCAATTAACTCTAATCCCTTTAAATTAATGGATCATCGATGATGGTTTCCATGTCATTTTTAAGTAAACAAGATTAGTTAGTTTTTTCATAGGTGGATTTGAGTAGGATTTTTCTTTTCTGTATTTTTTAAATTTGAGAATTTTGTTACTATATTGGGGATTGATTATTCTAATTAAGGGTTGAAAGGTTTGGATTGATTGAATATTTTAGTCATTACCATGCTCATGAGATTCTTTTGAACACGCGATAAGTTTTATTGCATAAATTAAGAGGAACCAAATTCCCACATTGACAAATATCCAATGAAACGGCCAATCGTGTAACACAAGCATCCTAAAATACTATTAGACTAAATATGCTTATAATACAAATAGATTCTTTTGCAAAGGAATAACAATAGATTTTAAAATTTTACTTAATCTTTGAAATTTTCAATTAAATCATTTCGAAATTGCTTTATTAATATATTAACACATGTATATTATTTGCACACATGTTTACATGTTATTTTTTTTTATTTTTATTTTTTCGAGAAAGAGAGCTTCATTAATTGGAAATGGTCACTCGGACAACAAAGGAAGTGATTTCTTGACTAATAAAGAAACGTAATTGAGATGAAAAATTATCAAGCCAAGAAGAAGACATAGAATGAAGACGACATTTTACCGACCAGTTAGCTGCCCGATTATTCTCACAATACACATGCACGAAGGATAGAGCGCAGCATGTAAGAGTTACAATATCATTGTATATAGGTTACTTGACACTACTTAATTTAACACAAAATATAATCAACCCATTGATAAAATTAAGTCACCTAATTATAAAGTAACTTTCGTCTATACTCTTCTCTTCATTGTTGGAATAATTTAAGCTCTCCCATGTAGCTTGAACTCAATACCTCAATAATATCTCTTGAAGTCCCAGACCATCAAAACTATTCCTTAGGGACGTGAAGATTTAATTTTACCATCCATAATCGTACAATTGTAATAATCAATATACTTCATGAGTTGTTAATATAAATATTGATCAACAGTAAATAACAAACTACTGTTTTCTTTCAACATCAGAGATTTGATCTTCCAAACTCTGAGTTTCTTATTAAAAATAACTAATAACATACTCGGAGAGGTGGTTGGTACAATTTGCCCTTAAAATTTTTTAACATTAAATAAAATAAAGAGGTTTTTGCAGTAAAGCTGGGGTCGTGGTCTCGTATTCCCGTAATAAATATGAACTGTGAGTCAGAGACAGAAGCCGACCCAATACAGAACCCTGGTTTTGCACCGCCGTCGGTTTTCGCCGCACGGTTCCCAATACCACCGCCCCATCCGCATCCCAATCCTATAAAAACCCACTTTTCTCGGAGCCCCAGTTCCTCTTCCACTTCCAGTTTCACTCGATTTTTTTCGGCAAAATCAATGGCATATAATATGGTCGCTGGTTCGAAGTGTTGTGTCCCGGAGCTGGAGAAGATCGCCGGAGATCAAGAGGAGGCGGAGGCGGCGGCGGTGGGCCAAGATGTGACGAGATATATAATGATGAAGTCTCCCAACTCCACGCAAGCACTGGACAAACAGGTGGTGCTGCGGCGGATCCGGCAGCGCAAGCGAGTCAACAAGTTTCGGGCGGTGGTCGGAGCTCTCTTCAGCTCGCCTTTCACGGATAAAACCGGCGACACTCGTCGGAGAAAGTGGGTCGACGAACCCTTCACTTCACTCTAGCCCAGTTCCAGTTCCCTTCCAGATTTAGTAAACCATTTTTTTTTCCAATAAATATTTCCATGTAATCTAATTACTAATGTAAGTTTTTCCCTGTTTTATTTTTATTTTATAAATTGGTTTGTGTTTCGGCCTCTCGGAGATTCCTTTCTTGTGGCACTACAAAATCATTATACATATGTAATTGTGGTACAAAATAGGGGTGAAAGAAACCGAACCGAACCGACCCGACGAACCGAATATTAATATTTCGGTTCGGTTCGGTCATGTCTTTTTACCGATTAGGGTTTCACTCCACAAAACACGTGCTGTCCGTCTCCCTCACGTCACAAAACACTCGTGTGCTGTCCGTCTCCCTCCCCTATCTCTCTCTCAGTCTCTGCGACCCATTTCCGGCGCCGACGGCCATCCCAGAGGCGAAGGTGACCGCCTCCGGCAGCGGCTACGCTCCTACGCTGTGTATCGGACTATTACGCACCTACGCTCTCGAGCGCAGCAGAAAATGAGATCAACGCATTGGGATGTATCCACGATGATGAGCTAAGAGTAAAAGTGGGAAGTGGAGGTTCGTCAGGGAGGCAGCCTTCTTCCCCAAGATTTAAAGGGTCGTCGCCAGTCTAATCGCCCGATTCTGAAGCTTTTCCTCTATGACGAAGAAATTTCCTTTCCCAACTCCTTGCTAGCGAAGCCAGGTCAATTTCCAGTCTCCCTTTTCTTTTCCTGATTCTGGGTCATCAATTCTTTTTCCATTCTCTGTTGCCCCACTCATTTTTTGGTATAAATTGATTGCTCTGCCTTGTGGGTTTCATGAGTTAACTGAAGAAAAAGGCTAGTGTATGTGCAATATGTTTGGATCCATATATTTTTTTTGTTGGGTTTTTTCAATTTGCTTATTTTTTGCTTCTATGTTGGTTGAACTGGTTGGTGAATAGTTTTTATCCCACTGATTCTTTGAGCTAATTTGCTTAACCCATTTTCTAGAAATGTAGAATTGTGTTCATATGTGTTGTTATCTCTGTTTCAGAAGCTTCTTAGTTTGTATTAAACTACCACTGAATCCAAGTCAGGCTTGAGGGAATAGGTTATAATATGTTAATTCTTTTTTGTTTGTTTTTATTTAAGAGGTCTAATTTTATCTTATTAATTCACAGGATAACTTCATCTTAATTTTTTAAAACAAGTCATTCTAGTCAGGGTGTTCCATTGGTTGAATTTGACAACTCTAACTTTGCTGCCAGTAGTAAATTAGCTACGGTTAGGAAAAGAAAACACTCTTTTATTTAGCTTAGTAAAAGGAATCAACTATAATCAACAAGATGAGCATAAGAAAGTAGAAATTGGAGCTGCGAAGCCGCTTACGGTCAATTTAGCTCTTCGTCGGTTGTGTAAATTGGTTTGGGATAGTAATGGATGGGTTCTCCTCGTTGCTTTTGGAGCCTTAACCATTGCTGCGGTACAGAAGACTGGATTCCTGCATTTATTCAGTTTCTACAGTGGTTAACCAAATTAATAACCACCAGTTTTTTATCCTTTTGTAACTGAGTGGTAACGGTTTTCAACGTGGTTTTTCTCCCTTGTTTGAGTGGTAAAATAAAAAGAACTCTCTCTGATTCCAAAGTGGATGTAGACCTAGTTGTCGAACCACTATAATTCTTGTGTTCTTGCTTCTTGAAATCTCTCGTTTTGCTTGCTTTGTTTTGTGTGTTGTTGCTTGTTCAATTCTCAACACATCTAAATTCCACCAACTGCCACCAGGAAACGACGAACAGGAAACACGAACCCAATGTCCAAATGACTTGAAATTATCGTCTCCATTTCCCTCATTTTCGGTCACCATATATCGAAGAATCAAGGAAGAATTTCGCATTCGGTGGCGATAGAATTTAAACTCGTTACTACTAAAACTGCTAGAGACGATAATCGGGAACTGAAGCTTCATCGTGAGCTTGGAACCAGAAGACCGGGAGTTTGATCTCGGAGAAAATTCCACCGGCGGGAAAAACGGAGGAAAGGAAATAGAAAGATTCCGGTTGGCAATGTCCATGGGAAGTGTGCGGAAGGATAATTCTGGTAGACTAAGCAGTGAAAAAACCGAACCGACCCGTAAAACCGAGGGTTTTGGTTATAACCGAAAACACGAGGGTTATTTTCCCCTCAGCGCCGCCCGTTCCCTCTCTCTCCCTCCCTCTCGCCGTGGAAGAAACGACCAGTTGCCGGCGACGGCGACGGCGACACCCACCCCCGTTTCTCTGTCTCGCCGTCCAGCAGCCGGCGACCAAGATACCACTGCATGTATCGGCAATCTAGATCCCCAAGTTTTCTTTCTGGGTTTGGGTCGGTTTTATTCAATTGGGCAGAGACCCGAATCAAAGCGACCCGTTTTTCGCCTACATGGTGCAGACTGCAAAGTTAATTTGAGAATCGATTTAGTTTAGTCTACTAAAATCGAACTGTTCACAGTGGATATTTCGCGGTTCATAATCATATGCTGGTTTTCTCCGATTTATGGTTAACTGAGCTCACATCTTCTTCTTCTTCTTCCACCTGGTTTCTCAATTGAGGAACAGGTTTAGAACAATTTGTGAAGAAGATCAATTGGGTCACTGTAAAGCTCGATGGCTGAGACCGAGACACCAAAAACGAAGGCACGACCGATTGTGCGACTGGGGATTTTCCTGATTTCTCAGAGTGTTTTCTTCAGGTACGCTGCTGGTTTTACGTGGATGTGATTCTCATTTCGTTTCAGAATATATTGATTGATTAATCTGGTCCTTTTTCTTTTTCGTTTTTGGTGCTCTCTAGCGTGATTTGCTTCTCCACGGGTTTCAGCTCTTTTGCTACTGCCAATGTTCGCTATGAACACCTACATTTCCGAGAACGCTCTCATGCCAGGTCATTTTCGCTTCTTGCTTAGCTTAGCTTAGCTTATCGTTATCTTATTTGTTTATTTATTACTCATCATTTTTATGATTTAGTGATTGATCGCCTGGTGGATAATTTACAAATTAAAATCAAAATTCATTAGTTGGGGAAGTATCTTAAATTGTAGGATTATCAATTTTATGCCTTGTTCTTTTGCAGTGATCTACTCTTTGTAATTTTATATATGGATACAGTACCCAAAGGTTGTTTAGAGCGTATATATGCTGGAGTACTCTTTAATTGTGGTTTGTGGAATTCTTCTATTGTCCCACAGGTTCTGCAAATACCATGCTTTCTGGTCAGGAAGTTTCAGAGGCGAACAACTTGGTGAAGGATCTAAAGGCTTTGAACTCGAAACCTGGTTCGACAGTCTTGTATGTAATTAGTGTCCCACTTTTCTCCATTTCTTTTTCCTCCTTTAACATACAATGGAAAAATCTTGTGTAATGACTAAAATTTTGAGAATAATCACTTCAAATCAAAATTTGTCTACGTGGTTTGTTATGACTTTGTATGCATTGACATTAATATGGTTTAATGTCGCATGCTTCAAAAGGCATTTGTGCATTTTAACTCAGTCAACTATTTGACTAATTACAAATTGTCACTTTTTACAAATTGTCACTTTGCAACAAACTTTTGGAACTGCATCCTAAGTACTTTTGGGTGGACCACTGCACTACCGACTGATCCTCCCCTCCTTCTCGAAGTTACTCTTACAAGACACCCCTTCAAAAAGGAAAAGGCAATTCTTTGGCAAAACTTCATGAGAGCTTTCCTTTGGAACCTTTGGAGAGAACGGAATCAACGTAACTTCACAGACAAAACTCTCCCCTTTGATATCTTTTTTGAAGCTATAGTATTCACAGTCATTACTTCGTGTAAATCCTCCCCTATGTTTCACTGCTATAGCTACACTTCCCTCTTAGTAAATTGGAAGTGCTTCATGTAATCCCTCAATTTGAGGCTTTTGTAATTTGATACATCAATGAAATTGTTTCTTACACAAAAAAAAAAACTATTTGACTAATTACAAGTAATTTGATACATCAATGAAATTGTTTCTTACACAAAAAAAAATAAAAAAACTATTTGACTAATTACAAGTATTTAAGTCAACAATGGTAGGGTGAAACTTTCAAGTTCACTTGTATGCGTAGTCCCATGAAATTATCAAGGAACCATCAACAAGCTCAATTGTGCCAATTGGAAAATATTTAAATATGTTATCCATTTAGCTTTCAATATGAACTTCTGAATGAGGCTGATATTCTTTGTCTGGAAAGGGTTTAGAATATTAATCCTAAAGTTCTTGTACAAGTTACGTGTATCAAAGGAAAGCTTTCATTAGAATGTGGTAGATGTTATTGCTTCAATAATTTAATGAAAGCTTTCATCAGAATGTGGTATATGATATTTCTTCAATAATTTTCTGATATGTGATGTCTATGCTTGTTTCATTTTATCTCTGACCATGATGTGCATGTGGATTGACATGACATTTGATGTTTCTCAAGAGGGGCGTGGATGTGTAAAGATAATCATAGTCTTGATTGTGTGCAACTTTTTTCACTACTTACTTTGCAGTGAACTGCATAGTTATCTAATTCATCTTCCACAGAATTTATCAATAGCATCTTTTTCACATTTCAATATGCATCATCTTATTCTTCTCCTTGCCTCTGTTTGCATTGCAAGTCTTTTGATTTTCTATCCATCTTTACAGTGGAATTCAGCAGATTCTAGCACAATATATATCAGACTTGGGTGCTGAAGTTAATTACCACAAGTTCCACCCTCAGTCTGGTCAGTTCCATCCATTGCACTTTTTCTCTAGCCCTGATTCTGGTATCATTCGGGACAATGTTAGTTGCATGGCACAGGTATTAACACTGTTGGCATAATAAGAGCACCACAAGCCGATGGAAAGGAAGCAATCGTCTTGGTGACAACTTACAATCCTGTTAAGACTAGTCTTTATGAGACTTTGTCTCTTGGTATTGCATATTCAGTATTTTCTTTGCTTACATAAGTAACTTGGTTGGCCAAAGACATTGTATGGCTCATCGTGGATTCACAATATGGGGAATATGCTGCAGTTTCAGCTTGGCTGAGAGACTATTACACTCCTGCATTTTGGTCGATCCGGCATCATTGACAAAGATGCTTGTGCTGAGATGAGTGTCCTTAATAAATTAGGAACAAACCATATGACAGAAAAAATGAGTCTAGATGAGTTTAAACGTGCTGGAACAATGGCTGCAGCACTTGTTATTAAGGTTTCAAATAAAAGTGAACGCTTTGAGGATAGTCTTAGTGTCTATGCTGAAGCATCTAATGGTCAGATGCCGAACCTGGATCTCATCAATTTGTGAATTATATGGCAGTACATAGGCAAGGTTTTTGGATTAAGGTTGAGAAATTTTTGCCTTTACTAGACTGCAAATGGCTCAAGGTTTTGGGTGAAGTGTTTGAGTCAATAGGACAATTGATCCGAAGCTTGAACTCTGAATGGAAGTTTGGCATCCTTGCTTCTGACTATGTTGATGGCATTGCCACACTTGCAAGTTCATTGTACTACCAGGTGGTTTACTTTTCAGTTTATTTGCCAAGAGCTATATGGTTTCATTTAATGAACAAGAATAAAGAAGGTTTTTTCATTTATGTTAATAATAAAGATTACATCCACTTAAGTTAAACCATGTTCTTCTTGCCATTAGGCTGTGGGTATTCCTACTGGTCCCCATGGGGCTTTTCGAGATTACCAAGTTGATGCAATTACCATGGAGATGTCCCCCAAATTTTCTTCTGGTATCAAGGTCAGGCGTGATGAATTCTATTGCGAGGTGGCAGGTCAGTGCTCATTTATGCCCCAAGGATTTTGTAACACATCCTCCTCCCACCCCTCAACTTTTCATTTAGGGCTCACTGTATGAACGAATGTTTAAAACTAATGGTTTCCCTCAATGGAGTTAGCTTGACATCAAGTAATATTTTTTATTTTTTTATTATTTATTATTTCCCATTTTTTAACTTCGCGTTTTACTGTCAATCTTCCATGTTTAAATTTTAGTTTGTAAATAGTTAAACTGCAGTAAGAGAAAATTTGTTTTTTTTTAACAATGAAACTTTGGCTAATAGTTTCTCTTTTTAAACGAATAGTGTTAAATTCATTCAAGCAAATTTATTGCCTAAAGTCATGTTCATGTACGAAACTGGGTTTAGATTTTGGTGTATTAAATGATCAAGATATTCATAATTTTAATCTGGAATTAAAATGGTAGGACTAAAATTCTCCAAGTCTTTTTAATGGCTAAGGATTTTGTAGTTGGGGTTGGTGCAGGCTAATTGAAGGAGTTGTACGATCAGTAAACAACCTCCTGGAAAAGTTCCATCAGTCATTCTTCCTATACCTTATGGTATCTACAAGCAAATTTGTATCAGTTGGCGTATATATGATTGCTTTTGCCCTCCTTGTTGCTCCACTACCAGCTGTTGCGGCTTCTCTCTACTCTTATGCAAACAATTTGAATTTAACCGTGGAAAAGGTCGAACATGCAGTTCCAGCAAATCCTGATGATGAGCTTATTGTCTCTTTGAGATCATGGAAATGGCTTAATGCTGCAAAAAATGTTTTTGTTGTTCA